AAAACTTCCTAAGCAAATACTCTCAAGGTTTTATTATTATTATTATTTGCATAACTAATTCACTTCACACACACACACATACATACACACACACTATGTCTCCAACTGAACAAATATTTTAGGAAACAATGCTTTATCTGATTCTCTATGAAACACTGTGATGCTTTCTATTCTATTCTTTCCTTAGAAAAAATGCAGGTCATGACCCACTGTGCCACCTGTTAATGGATTGACACCTCCATTTTGGAAGAGTGCAGTTTTCTTCGGTTTACAGCAGGCACCTATACCATTTGACTGCCAGGTAAGGTGGGGAGTGGAGGAAAGGGGGCACATGGTCCCTTTGATCACGACATCTCAGAACTTCGGAGAAGATGCAAGTTTCAGCTCAGTCTCCGGCTGGACAGCAAGTTTTGGACCTCCTGGCTTTGTACCCTTTCTCTCCACCTGGAGCACTCGTCCTCCACCCTGTCACCCGGCTGACTCCATTCATAGGAGCCTGGCTTGCCACTTACTCCAGGAAGCCTCCCTGAATGCCTGTCTGGTTAGCGGCCTGCCTCTGGCTCCCTTAGTCCCCGGTGGGTACTCCCCTGCCGGGTAGTCAACGCACTTAGTACAATTTCACGTTAGAGTCTCTGGAAGGCAGGTACCTTTTCATTCTGTTCATTTCTCTACTCTCTCCCTACCACCCAGTGTGGTGTAGTGCTGGCTAAATAAAAAGCACTCAATACATTTTTAGTGAATGAATTAATGATAGTTAATAGTAATGATCGCAACTACCATTTATTTATTTTTATTCCTCACCCGAGGATATTTTTTTCATTGATTTGTTTTTAGAGAGCGTGGAGGGGAGGGAGGAGGGAGAGAGAGAGAGAGAGAGAGAGAGAGAGAGAGAGAGAGAGAGAGAGAGGGAAACATCGATGTGAAAGAGACACATTGATTGGTTACCTCCCACACACACCCCGGTCTGGGCTGGGGATTGAGCCTGCAACCGAGGTATGTGCCCTTAACCAGGAATCAAACCTGTGGACCCTTCGGTCTGCAGGCTGACACTAACCACTGAGAAAACCAACCAGGGCAGCAGCTACCATTTATTGAGTGCCCATTTATCCCATGAGAAGTCTTAGTAGAGATTAGGATAAACTCATTTTATGGATGAGGAAACTAAGGCTCTAAGAGATTAAAGAATGTGATGGAGCCAGGATGTGTAATAACCCAGGGCTACCCGACTCCCAACCTTTCTAAGCACAGGATCTTAATTGTCCACATTCCGCCCAGCGCTACCAGAATGGGGCAAAGGGCAGGTCCTTAACAAACCCTCGGGGAACCGATGACAGGTTGATTAAAGAGATTTTCCAAAGCAGTGGCCACATCTAATTTTGGAGAGTTGTACCTCGTGTGTGGCTTGGGAGAGAGGATCTGTGAGGTTTCTAGGCTGCCTGAAAGTGGGGTTCTCTCATTTGGGAAAAGAGGCTGGACCAGGTCTTCTGGTCACCTGACTACACCTCGGATCATACCCAGGCCCCTGCAAAGCCTCCTTGATCTGGCCCATGCCCACATCTCCCGGCCGCCGCTGCCTGCTCCCCTCAGTCACTCTGTTCCTGACACCCTGGCGCTCTTGCTGTTCCTCAAGCACCCCAAGCCCAGTCCTGCCTCAGGGCCTTTGCAAGGGCCACTCCTGCTGCGGGGAAGTCTTCACTCTAGAACTCTCCATCCTGCTTCTCAGACTACCCTATCCAAAACATCACCCTCTTCCTTCTTTGCTTTTTTTCTCATAACACTCACAACTTCTGGAAATTACATGTGTTTTCCAGTTTATTTCTGTCTTCATGAGACAGGAAGCTTCCTGAGGACTTTGCTTGTTCACTGCCCCAGCCCCTGGAACTCATGTAGGATGGTGCCTGGCATATAGATGATGCTCTGTAATATTGGTTGCATGAATAAATGAGCCCCCCCCAACACACACACACACTCCCTTTAGACATATCAGGAGATCAACCTATAGCTTCCCCAAAATATGTGTCCCCGTGACTCACATCCAGGCCCCAATCATACACACCTTGGTTTGCAAGAGGAAAGAGAAGAAACATTTGACACCCATGCACTGTGCACCACTTTGCAACAGGAATTGGTACCTGGCAAGCACTCAAGGGTTATCTCCATCTTACAGCCAGAGAAATCGAGGCCTGCTCTCTGCTTGTCCCTAGTGCTTACATAGTACTGGGCACAAACATCTAGTGAATTGCATTGCGCTGAATTGCAGAAGTTCAGCAACAGCTCACGGTCACTGAATTAGGAAGTGTGGTACACAGAATTAGGAAGTGTGGTACCAGAATTTGTCCTCAGTGCTGTCCAGTTCCAGCCAGTGCTGTGCCACCGCCATGGCACACATAGAAACTCCAGGGATATAACCTCGTTAACATCCGGACACTTTCGAGGGTGGGCCCTCGCCAGATACCCACCGACTGGCAGCCCAGTCATCCCATCCTGCACCGGGGACCACTCTCTTTATATGCCCAAGGGCCTCAGCTTGAGCAAACCCTGGGCTGACTATGTCCTTCCTGCCCCCGGCTCCAGTGTCCTCTGGCGCCAAATATGTGTTTTTTTCAATGAGCCATAGCTTTGAGTTATCTGTGTCAGCGCCTCTCCCCAACAGGGCACGTGAGGGAGGCCTAGAATGACCCTGGGCTGGAAGGACCCTGAATGAACACTTACAGCGGGAGCCAGCAAACTTTTCCTGTCGTCGAATAGTAAATCTTTTCGGCTTTTGAGCCAAGAGACAAAATTGAGGATGTCATGTAGGGACTTTCATATCATTTTCACAAACAGTGTTGTTCTTTTGATTTTCCCCCCAAACATTTCAAAATGTAAAATTACTGTCGGCTCCCAGGCTGCAAAAAGCAGGCAGCAGGCCAGTTTGGCCTGCTCTCTAAAGTTTGCAAGCCCCTGTTTTAAAGCAATACTCCTTATGCTTTAACGTGCATAAGAATTGCTGGATGAGCTTAAAATAGATGTCTGGGTTGACCCTCAGATTCCGATTTAGCAGGTCTAGGGGGGACCCCTGAATTTGCATTTATTTCTGATGCTACCTGTCCACTGACTACATTTTGAGTGCTTATTTGAAAATACCCCATTTTATGGATGAGGAAACTGAGGCCAAGATAAGTGGTATGTTCAAAGTTACCCCCAGTGGAGGAGGTAATGATATCTATTCTGCCAATTCCCAGGGCTGTTTTGCCACAGAAAATTCCTCTCCATTTCCTGAACCCACTGAGTTCTCTCCTGCTTCTGAGCTTTTTACTTATTTTTCTCTCTCCCACTCCCGCCCTCACAAATGCAATTTCCCCGTCAAGATCCAACTCACATGTCCCCTCTTCTAAAGCATCCTTCTCTTTACTGCCACAGCACTCTGTACATACTTGTATATAATGGTTTGTCTACAAGCCTATCTTTGAAGCCTTGGGCTGTCTCTTATTCCTCTTTATGTCCCTTTACAAGGCTTGCAAATAGGAAGTATCACAGAAATATGCACCGAACAAAAGACTGCATGCATGGATGGGTGAGTGGATGAATGAATGTTTTATGATCTATTCCTTGAAAATCATTTTCTTGGCAAAGTTGAGCCTAGACCCCGATTCTCCTAGAGCACAAGCTAGAGTCTATTCCGCAGTTGATGGCAAACCTAGCATGTGAACAGCAGCAGTTACATCTTAATGAATGTGTGCTGGGTGTGTGTTTATATGGCAGGCCTTTCCTAAGCACTCCTGCCAGTCCTCTCCATAGGCCTTGATTGGCCCCACCTTTCCTAACAAGAGAGTGGGTCCTGGAGAGGTAGTTTGCCTGAAGTCACATGGTAAATAACTCCCTGGCCCCTCTGCTTCTGTGTCATCGTGCCCCTTGCCTCCGCCTCCACCAGTGCTCCTCACCACCTGGGCCCTACCCCCGCTGCAGGCCCCAGCTGGGCTCACCTCCGTCTGCATAGGTCTCAGTGCCGTAGCCGTCCTGCAGGCCGTTGTTCCAAGTGCCCTCGTACTTGGCTCCGCTGCTGCTGCTCTGCCGGGTTCCATAGCGTCCCTTGAAGCCGTGTGTCCACTCGCCCTTGTAGAGCCAGCGTCCCTTGGTCTCTATGCCCAGCCCATGCCGTTTGCCCTGGCTCCAGTATCCCTCGAAGGTGTTGCCGCTGGGCCAGGTGTAGACGCCCGCCACTTCAAAGCCAAAGTTCCAGGAGCCCGCGTACTCGCCCTGGCCCTTGGGGCCTGTGCACAGCCCGTGCCCGTGGGCCTTTCCATTCTCCCAGCCTCCACAGTACGCCCCCCCGTCGTCAAAGTCAAAGCGGCCCCCACTCATCTCATCATAGCCCCCGACAACCTGACTGCCCTCCAGCTTGGGGGTCGAGGGCGATGGGGGTGCCCCCACTCACCACCGCCGCACCCCAGCAGGGGGAAAGCAAGGTGCCACCAGAGGCTGAGTGAGCCCAGGAGCCAAGTCAGCACTGGGTGGGCTGGTCAGTGCCATGCCTGGGAGGCCCCCTCAGTCAGCCAGAGGAAGGCTGCCAGTTGGGAAGGAAGCAGGAAGGAGAGATTCAGAGCCTCCACAGAGCATCCCGAGTCTGGCTTCCATGGAGTCAAAGGAAAAACGCTGTGATCCCTTTAAGAAGCACTGCGAAAGGGTGGGGTGGCGGGGTCCCCAGGCCGTCTCAAAGAGGGAAATTCCCCTCGGTGACCGTCCCAGCCCCCAGGCTGAATTCCTGCAGCCCGCTGGCCCCTTCTCCTCTACCCGTGGGTGTGGGGTGTGCGGGGCTGTCGATCTCCTCGAGGCTGCCCCGCCCCTGTCCAATCCTGCCCTCCTCCCGGGACAGAAAGGTCAGTGTTGCCCTAACAAGGCCATTGGATCTCAGAAGCTGCTCCCAAAATAACCCCCTGGCCAGCCCAGCCTCCTTCAAAGTGGGAGGGGTGTTTCAGATGGGGCTGGTGCTTCAGACCCTGGGAGGGGCTGGAGGGATGAGGAAGGGAAGCTGAGAACAAAGTGTAGGCAGCTGGGGCGATCTGATGGCTCCTCTTCCCCTGGGTAAGAGCTCTCTTCCACCTCAGGGTTCCCAGAGTCTGTGGGAGCGAGCGGGCGGAGGAACTGGGAAGGGAGGGGAGGGAGACTCGCAGAACACCCTGTGCTGGCACACTCAGAACCCCCCAGAGCAAATCTCAGCCCCACCGCCACTCACATGCCCTCACAGGTCCTGGGGCTCCGGCACCACTGCCAACCCCAAAAAAGGAATCTAGTGACTACAGAGAAAGGAATGGGGCCTGGTTTCACAGATGCTTTTGAAAGCAGAGAAGTGAGGGTCTAGAAGCGGAGTCTGGAGCTGCAGCAGGCCTGGGTCCAGAGCTCATGCACAACCCGAATTCCCCCCACCCAGGAACCCTGAGAAAACCCGGGGGAGCCAGCGCAAAGGCTCGGAGCACTCCCGTTCTCTCTCCTGCGGGGTAAATACCTCCTCTGAAGGCGAGGAGTCTGTCTGTCCTCCATCTCTGAGACAGAGTTGCCAGTTGTGTTAGAAGGAGTTCATCTCAGAAACACTCAAGGATCATGATTTTTTTTTTGTTTAATTCTCTTTCCAAGTTCTTCTGCTCTGGTGTCCTAAGAGCCGGTGAAGCCAGACTTCATAAAGTTCCTGGGGCAGGTCAGGTTCCCAAGCTCCAGCGAAAGGGACACATAAATCTCCATGACATGAAGCTGTGGCCGGGGCTAATGACTGGAAATCCCAACTGAGCCCAGGGTTAACAGGAGCATGGAGTAACTCCGAGGAAGGTGGGAACCACCAAGAACAGGAAGCTCTGTGTGTGTGTGAGGGGGCGTGGGGGAAGGGAAGGGGGGGGGGAGAGAGAGAGAGAGAGAGAGAGAGAGAGAGAGAGAGACGGGGGAGGGGAGGATAGAGACCATTAAGAAAGCAAGCACAGGAAGTCTCTGAGAACATTACACGATTATCTGATTTCAAACTTATCATACCCAAATTGCAGAATGACTTAGGCCACTTAAAATCACGGCAGAAGTTTGTTCATTTCAGAAACGGATAGAAAATGTTTTCTTCCTCCCAGCTGATTCCTAGTTCTTAAGACTTGGCTCCTTCATCGTTCACAGCCCCCTGCCTTGAAGGGCCCCTTTCGTGTCCACGTTTCACCCCCAAGTAGAAACACCCAGCCTCCGCACGCACTATCACTGGCTGTTTGCCAAGGCGACAGCGAGTAGCAATAGATAAAGACTTGTATCATCTGGGTTTTGTCTCACCACCCGGCCAGGCTGACTGACAGCCTGCGTGCACACTTCGCTAAGAACAACACCTCGATGCTGTCCCCAGAGAGTTCTGCTCTTGCCACTTCTCACCTAAGTCCCTGGAGAATCCCCCCTTTCTTTCTAGCTCTGCTCTCCAAGGGAGGGGAAAGGACATCTTACACTGGAAGCCTTTTGTAGTTAAATGCTGAGCAAATCACCATAATACTGTTCTAAGGCTGCCTGGCTGCTGTGTCCTAGAGGACCGTTCACCTACATAAATTTAGCCAGTTCCCCCATGCGGCTCCCTACAGTGGTTCCCTACCAAGGGCCTGTACACATAACAGTCACCAGTATAACTCAAAAGACACAAACAGATTCCAGACCCCTCCCCCCACCCCCAACCTACTGAATTCAATTGTCCTGGGTGGAGGCCAGGACAGTTAAATTCTTTTTAAAAGATCAGACGAATCTGACTCTCATTCCTGGTTAAGAACCACTGTAATGTCAAATTAAGAAACTGTTTCTTAATATAACATTTACATATTCATGAATCTACTTACTTAACATAGGCTATGTATGTTACCAAACTCAAGGGGTTCACTGCTTTGGGGTACTTTATTCAAAAATGAGACATGGTTGTCCCAAGGTAGTTTTATTTACTTGCAGCAAGTAAAGAAGATGAGGAGTTATAACCAAAGCTCTGTCTCCTGGAAGGGAGGGTTAGCCATTGCTTAGAGACACTATTTGGTCACTTTCATGTTGTTTTTGATGTTTGTGTGGGGTTTTTTTGCAGTTGGCTACTTTCATCCCCTTGAAGTTCTTGTCACCTCATCCTGTTTACTGGTATATCTGCAAAATACTATGCTACATTTTAATATTAAGCAAGAAATACCATTTAGTAAGAATGGTCCAAACCTTGAGACCCTTGTTCTATCTAACACTTGGGGTAAATAATTGTGGAGTTAGATATCTGTTCAAATCCCAAGTTGTGTGACCTTGAACCAATTGTTAATTTCTGTAAGCCACAAATTCTTCACCTGCAAAAGTACCTTTCTCAAAGTGTTATTAATATTAAGGCTAAAGTATCTACCTTATATGGCTGGGTAAAGATTATATGACTTAATACCTTTTTAAAAAAGACTGAGAACACACTACACAACTAATAAACTTTAGCTATTATTAATATTATCTTCACCTGATGTTACTTTTCAAACTATTATGCTTAATAAAATAGTCACCAGAGGGAAGCGATCACTCCCTAAATATTAAGCACAGTGAAGTACTCCTTACTCTTCCCAGTATGTGTTCACTCAACATTACCCTGTGGTTTTTCATTTTTAAACTGATAAACTATGTTACTGTTAAAGGGACACTTTGACTTCTTAAAAGTTTAAGTAAATTCTTTGCCAAATTTGCTACTGGCCTTACCGGGACCAGGTTGAGCTTCTTGACCCCGCCATCACTTTCTGGCCCTGCCCTTTAAACCCATACGGCTCAGGGAAAGGGAGACCTCTTGTGGCCAGAGGTGCGTTAAAACAGCTTTTCCTTAGGAAAAGGAAGTTCTTTCCACCAAATGGAATTTACTAAAACTTGTAGTGAATTTAAACTGTTTTTAAAAGTATCTACCTCATTCCTCTTTTTCCCGGGTCTTTTCTTGCTCTGTGGTTCTTTGGTCGGATGGGGTAGTCACTGTGTCCTATGCTTCTCAACTTAAGCGTGACTGCTGACTGGTTCCTTATCTCCTCCTGAGTCCAAGCCCTTATAATGGAGAGAAGGGAACTGAAAATCCAGAACAGAGAGGACTGCACATGGAAACCCACCTGAGTTCTCAGCGCTGAAGACTCGACTGAAGAAGCCTCATCTCCCCAGACCAGGCTCCTGGCTGGTTAGGTAACTTCCCATGCTGGCTCCTCCCCCCACCTGAGAGGTGTTTTGAAGCAAGGATTATCTTCATTCCAAAACAATGCATGAACACCTACTCTGTGCCTGGCACTCCGGCTCATCTTTGTATGCCCTTGCCTGCACATAGTGGGTTCCCCTAATCTCTCCCTCTCCTTAGCATTTGGCAGCTGGCAGCTCCCTTCTTAAAATGCTTTTTCATTTGACGTCTAGAACTCCTCTCTTGGTTCTATTCCTGCTGATACTACTCAGTTTTTTGCTGGTTCCTCCTCATTCCCCTGCCCTCTACACCCTGAGAATGTCCCAGAGCTTGGTCCTTGAGCTGATTATCTACATTTGCTTCCGAGGTGATCTCCTTCAGTCTCATAGTTTAAATATAAGCATCCTCTATCTCCAGCCTGAACTGCTCTCCTATCTTCAGTCATATATCCCACCAGCAACTTAACAGCTCTACAAGATGTCATAAGCATCTCAGACTTAATGAAATCAAAACCAAATTTCCAATTTCTTCTCCTAGACCTGTTCTCCAGGTTATTAACACCATTGGAAATCACCCTAATTCCAATCTGTCTCTCACACCTGATGTCCATTAGCAAATCACTTCAGCTCTGCCTTCAAAGTGATTTCAGAACAGCTCTCTCCTGTACTGCCAAGTGCCCAGGCCACTGGAAACTATGGCCTGATTTACTGCAATAGCCTCCTAACTGCTCTCCTTGTTTCCTTCCCCTGCTCCCCCTAGGCCAGTGGTCGGCAAACTCATTAGTCAACAGAGCCAGATATCAACAGTGCTTCTTCAAAATAGACTTGCCCAGGCCGAAAACCGACTTCTGCGCATGGGCCACGAAGTTTCAATCACACTGTACGTGCGCCCGCACGTGGTATTTTGTGGAAGAGCCACACTCTAGGGGCCAAAAAGCCGCATGTGGCTCGCGAGGCACAGTTTGCCAACCACGGCCCTAGTCCACACACAGCAGCCAGTGCTCTTTTAAAAGGCCGGGTCTTTGCAGCTCAGTCCCCAATGTGGGGCGTGCAGGAGGCAGCCCATAAATGATTTGATTTCTCTATTTCTCTCTCCCTCTCTCTCCCTCTCTGAAATAATAATAATAATAAAAGCCCAGCCAGCTTGCTCAGTGGTTATTTTTTTTTTTAAAGAAACTGGTGCCTGTCCACAGCAAAGCTTCTGCTCTTTTGAAGTCTTAAATCGTTTAAATTTAAAAAAAAAAAAAAGACAAAAAAATTTAAACAAAACTGAAGGGAGAAAACGCAAAAAAGCTTCACTTTGCTGGAGCTCCAGCAGTCGGGAGATGGCCGCCGGCCGGCCGGGCACCTGTACCCTCTGCGGTCCTCTGTGAGACTTGACGAGACTGTGGGTCCCGGGGATCAACCTAGCTTAAAAACAACCAAGATGCTTTGCCCTGAATTTTAAGCAGCACGTGTGACCTGGGCCATTCTGGTTTCAAGTTCAAAGGCATCAGGCCGGTCCTGTGGGTTAGCATATCTTTCAAGAGCTGCTTGATCCCCTCAGACATGGAAGTCCTGCGTTTCTGGGGGATGTGCAGCTCCATCTTTGGATTTTCTAGCAGCGCCTCACCAACAGGGACGATCTCGGTCCCCTGTTTGACTGATATAGGTCCCCAGGAGCTCCTTCTTGGTCTCAGAGGCAATGAAAGTGATTCTTTCTATCATTGCCCAGATGATAATGCCCAGGGCAAAGATGTAAGCCTTGGCTGTGTAGTGTCCCCCCCAGACTTCAGGGGCCATGTAGAAGTCTGAGCCGCAGGCTGAGGACAGCCAGTACTTATTCACATCTACATTTTTGTTGTTTTGATTACCCTCTTTGCCTCCGGGGGCTAGCCCAGCACAGACCTTGCTTAGTCCAAAGTCTGCCACCTTGAGGATGGGGGTGCCAGACCTCTCCGTGATAAGGATGCTGTCTGTCTGGCTTTAGGTCCCTGTGCACGATGTGGTTTTTGTGCAGGAAGGCAATGGCGCTTGTGAGCTGTAGCATGAAGCTTTTGTTGGTGGCTGGGTCGGGCCTCCGGGACAGGACGTACTGATTCAGGTCTCCACCTTCACAGAACTCCATGACAAACCAGAGATAACAGGGCTCCTCAGCATAACCCAGGATCCGTTCTCCTTTGAGCGAGGTCTCCACCAGGCGCAGGTAAAGCTGTGAGTTCTTGTTGCCATGGCTCATGCGCTGGGCTAGGCCGTTGCGCTGCAGGACACACGCCTCAAACTGCACCACGTTCTGGTGGCGCCGCTTGAGACTGGTCAGGGCCCAGAACTCCGCCAGCGCCAGCTCCACGTTTTCCCGGGCGTCGCAGCGAATCTTCTTGACCGCCACCCGGCCCCGCTCCTCGTAAACCACGCCGTAGCTGCCGCGCCCGATCTCGGCCACCAGACTGCAGCGCGGCTGCGCGGACCCGCAGCCACCCTCGGGCCACCGCCGACCCAAGTAGGCCTGGCTGGGGCTTCGGCCGCCACCGGATCCATGGCCTGGGCCGCAGCCACTGGCCTCAGCTTCGCGCTGGGCGCCCGCGGCACTGGGCTAGGTCACAGTTTGATTGCTGGTCAGGGCATATGCCGGGGCTGTGGGCTCCATCCCCAGTGCGGGGCATGCATCATCATGGATGTTTCTCTCACTCCCTCTCTGAAATCAATAAAAAAGTTTATTTTTTAAAAAGACCATGTCTGATATGTCTCTTCTCCAAACCCAAATGGTTCCTTACCTCCTCCTGAGTTGAAGCCTTTACAATGGCCTAAAGGGTCCTCCATGAACTGCCCCTGCCCTCTGCCTCTGTGACCTCGCCTGCCTCAAGACAGATATTCTTGCTGTTCCTCTAAACACCCACATGGCTCGCTCCCTCACTTTCTTCAGGTCTCAGCTCAAATGTCACCGTATCAGAGGCTTATCTGATCACCCCAAATAAAATATCAGCCCCTCCCCCTGTCCAGCCCTGATTACCCCCATCCTCTCTCCACAGCACTTTCTCTGAGGACAAGGATAAGTTCTGCTTATTGTTCTATTCCTAGTATAGTGTTTCTGGTGTTTCGTAGACTCTTGGTAAATGTGCTAAATAAGTGAATGAGTATTCAATGAGTAATTATTAATACACATGTCAGGATGCTCTTCTCAACATCAGAGTATTAATTTCTCAATCCACAGTCTGAATCCGTTTCCCAGGACACATCAGAGAAGGATGAGTTCTGTAAGTGGCACTCACCGAAGGTCAAATGTCCCAATGAGGGATGCATATTAATGTTGGCCCAAATAGGACTGAACAGAGTAATTTTTAACTTTAAGATTCATGTTTTGAGGAAGATATTGAAGTGTAAATACTTACAATTCATTCCTGCAAATCTGGAATGCCTAAGCTTCCATCCAAGTTTGGATTTCTTCAACAGGCTACTCAAACATTGGAACTTTCTTTTTCATCCCGACACCTCCTCCTCCTAACTTTGAAAGGAATGTGCACCATTCTTCATTCTCTGGTGACTGTTCTGTTAATATACAGAACGAAGCAAATAACCAGACGACTGGTTTAAAAAGCAAACCGAAAAAGATTTACGGACTTGGGAACCACCTGAATTCAAGTAGCATGTTAAGCCCATTTGCTCCATTACTCTCCAGTAAAAAAGGTGACAAGAGTTGTGGAGGTGAGCGTGGGTGGTGGGTACAGTCAGCTCTAATGGCCTACATTAGTGATTCTCAAAGTGTGGTCTGGGCCAAAACCGGTTTGGCTCAGTGGATAGAGCCTCGGCCTGTGGACTGAAAGGTCCCAGGTTCGATGCTGGTCAAGGGCATGTACCTGGGTTGCGGGCACATCCCCAGTAGGAGATGTGCAGGAGGCAGCTGATCGATGTTTCTAACTCTCTATCTCTCTCCCTTCCTCTCTGTAAAAAATCAATAAAATATACTTTAAAAAAAATTAAAAAAACAGTGTGGTCTGGGAATCTACTCTTTCAGAGGATCTGCAAGGCCAAAGCTATAGTCATTAAAAGTTAGGTGACATATATAAAATTAACATTATTTTTTCAAACTCTTTGTCTCACAGGTGGTTTTCCAGGTCACATGGCAGGCAATGTCACAAGAGACTAAATGCAGAAGCAGACATGAGAATCTAGCTGTCTTCAATTAAGCCAAACATTACAGGGATTTGCAAAAATGTAAAACAATGCAACTCTCCTCATTAAATACTTTTTTTTGGAAAAATTGTTTTCCAATTTAGAGTCTATATATATAAAAACCTAATATGCAAAGTGTCTCCTCAGGAGTCAACCAACCGGGAGTTCGATCACTCGCTATGATGTGTGCTGACCACCAAGGGGGTGGCGCAGAACGCAGGCAGGCCCAGCCGGCAGCTGGTAGCTGGGGGAAGGCCCTGGCCGGCAGCTGGCAGCCACTAGGGACTCTACCCATGTATGAATTTCATGCACTGGGCCTCTAGTATCCTAATAAAAGGGTAATATGCAAATTAACCATCACTCTGTCACAAAGATGGTGGCACCCATAGCCACAAGATGGCAGTACCCAGTCCTCTCAGCCCCACCGGAGCCCCTGAGTCCCAGGGGGCGGCCGCTGAGAGCAGGGAGCATGAGTGGCCTAGTGGAATGCTTGCTGTATAAACAAGCACCTTCTGTTAGCATTATGAGACCAGTACCTGTTACAGTCCCTAGTGCTGTGATGGAAGGCATTCTGCTGCCTTGCTTGATGCACACAGCCTTCAGATACTACTCAATCCACACTAAACTAGTAACTAGCTGGAGTCTCTCACTAAAGTTCAGGGCTTTTCCAGTAAATACCCTCCCCACTTCTCCCAAGTACAAGTCCACCTATTTGTAAGCCCAAACTCCAGTCATGAATCAACCCCGCAGACAGTGGGATGTTTTAGTAAAGAGTAAACCTTACTTTGTAATCTACGTAAAACAAACTTTTTGTTAATATGGTGTTAAAATGGCTAGACAAATTTTCACTACATTCAATGGGCATGCTTAGGATGGTCTGAATCAAAAGTTAGGTGGCATATGTAAAAATCACTTTGGGACTACATGAAAAAGATAGGAATTCATCCTCCAGCTGAAGTTGAGGATTTTTTTTTTTTTTTAACCAAACTTTAGAGGGCATTTTGGGATGACTGACCAGAAACACAGGATATGGCATGTATAAAATTCTCTTAGGGGTTCCTGGGGTAGGAAGGCAGAGCAAAGATAATATCCATCCAGAGCATTTGAAACTGAAGTATGAGATCTACATTACAAGGGACTGAAACATGCCATATATATTAAAATGTGAAAGACAGAGAAGACACATACTAGCTTCAAATATTACATCCCCCCACTCCAACTGAAGCAGCCCATTCCAAGCTGCTTCTTCCATGAGAGACGTCATGTAACATGCCTCAGGATGACCACCACCAGCAGGGTCTGCTTAGTGATGGCTAATGATTCTCTCAAACAACACAGGGTAGGCCAGCTAGTTTATTCATATTAAATCTAAACTCTGGATCTCTGGCTTAATAACATAAGAAACTTGTAAAGACAATAAATTTTGCACTAAATCAGAGATGGCTTAAATCAGTCATAGAAGTTCTAATATTCTGAGCTGGCAATTACTGCATAACAAATGCTCAGTCCAGTTACAAAACCACATTTCATTTCCTTGGCCACAAAATCTTTCACAGATTTGAAAAATGCTTTTACCATGTACCCACTGCTACCAGTCACGTATAGTTTCTTCGTCCCCCAGGAACATCACTAAGTGAAAGGACTTTTTCTTTGATCAGTTTGTAGGTATGTAAGAACTCTGAGAGGAAGTTTAAAGAATGAATATGAACTGAGATGCCAAGTAAAGTTTTTATTGCAAGCACAGTGAGCAGGAGGTGTCTTCTCACACAAAGTGGCTGCCAGGTCTGCCATTAACTACCTCTCTCTGACAGCCCTTCATTGGTTTAAAGCGTATTAGTTGGTTCCTGCTATCAGGTGTACATCATTTCTGCCATGTGGGACATTTTCTTGGGAATATACAAGTAATATTCCATGTAGCCTGACAGGTCCTCAATGGTCACATCATCCACATAGACTCGAGCTTGCTCAGAACAGGAGCGCGGGGAGCCAGACAGAGTTCTGGTGTGAAGCGACTGAGAGTAGTCCTCAAGCGTGGATCTTCGTTCTGGGGCCAAGGGAGGGACATTCTGCAAGCCTGAAAAGGAATACACCTCCATATCATGCCACCTCTTACACTGGCACTCCTTGCCTAGGCATGCACATGGCTGGCCCTGGTTTAGCTTGGAAACAGATTGAAAGTCAGAGAGTTCATTGGCCTTGAGACTTGCTTGGGAGACTTGAGTAGCATCAGAGGAGTCTTCCTTCTTACTCTCTGACGGCAGCCTTGGAACCGAAGTTCTCAAAGGCTCAACAACTGCCCCTGTGTGATTAGTATCGAGAGAAGTAGAGCATTCTCTTGCACTGAAGTCTTTAGGGGTTGAAATTCCCAGCCCACTGCTGGCATCAGGGGAGTCAGTCTGGCCTTTGTGCTTGAGCTGGCTGCTGGAAGAAGATGCTATTGTACTGCAATGTATAAACTTTGGGGGATGAAGGACAGGAGATTTAGATCGTCGACGACGTTGGGTTCTCATTGCTCCTCGTGAAGACTTCCGTGTTGAGCTAAGAGGGAAAAAATGTACAAGATGTTGGGATACAGAGCTCTCCTAAACAAATGCTTTAGGACAGTTGGAAATCTGCCCCCTCTCAGACTTATGAGTCTAAGAGGTCATAAGTTTTCCCCAAAGGGATGTGCCCACCTCCCTTTTAAGCTGCCTATGTCTCTGTGTCTCAAAAATGTCAACATCTCCATATTAGCCACTTAAAAAACAGGAGAGGTAAAGGGTAGTTTTTACCTGCATTTCTTGAGCCAAACATTTAGTGCAGAACACCCACCCTGTCCCAACCCTTGGCTCAGGAACCTGTGACCCAACAGGTTTAGAGAAGCACCCCGCATAGACAACTGTAGGGTGTAAAAACTAAATGGTTCTATGCCTTGAATTTAGCAGCTTCAGTATCACTGTGAGGCTAATGCTACAAATGGCCATTATGGCATGATCTCTAAACAGAGCAGCAGGTTTAGGGTTCATTTCTATCACTGATTAACAGCTGACAGATTTAGACTCCTGAAGTTTTCAGATATTGGGACATATTAGATAAACTACATAACTTAAAAAAAAATTTAATAAACAAAAGAACCAAGCAAAGCAAAAAGGAGACAAAATTGCCAAGCAAGTTTGAAAACAGAACCAAATAGAACTTTAAGAAATAAACTTTATATTTGAAATTAAACTAAATGGATGGGCTAAGCAGAATATATACAGTTAGGGAAAGAAATACTAAATTAGAAGATATATCTAAATTATTTATAACAGGGGTCAGCAAATTACAGCCTGTGGGCCAGCACTGTGAGCCACAGAGACCAGGGTGAGGTGTCCCTCCCTCTTTGGCCATTCTCCCCGTCACTCCCCATGCCTGCCTTCCCGGCCAAAAGACATCAGACATGCCACACCTATGCATAGGGTCCACGCTGGCTACTATTTACATGTTAGGGCTCTGCTGTCGGCAATCACTGGGCACTGAGAAGCAGAATCTCAGTTTGAGTGTCTGGCCTGTGCCAGGCTCTCTATGGAAGAGAGAAAGACATACTAGAATCTGAGTACCACTAGGGCAGGAAATAAAACTGACCCTGGGATTGCCCCCAACCCAGCCATCCCACAAGTCTAGTCATTTCATCCTGAGACTCTCAGCAGCAGAACACAAAGTGTGTCCACCAGTCAAGATAGTCCACATCAGGCAGGTAGGGCAGGAGTTTTCTCACTTATGTAAGTACCTACATAATATCCTCAGATCTCACTTCTCGCTTGCCAAAACCTAAAATATTTGCTATTTGGCCCTTTACAAAAAAAAAAGTTTGCTGACCCCTGACCAAGAAGGCAGCACAGAGATGTGGAGAGCTGGAAAAAAGTAACAGTTAAGAGATGTAAGACTAAGAAATCTGGAATCTCTGAAAGAAAGATTATAGAAAAGGAAAGAGAATGATTTTTAAAGAGATAACAGCTGGTAAATTTTTTAAATTGATGAAAGGGAATCTATAGCTATAGAAAGCAAACGACAGATACACTAGAGCAAACTATAGAATACCAAACCCAACAGGAACTGCTGAAGAGCTGCCTGAGACTAGACAGATTATTTCCAAAAGAACAATTAGATGAAAAGAAGGCTTTTCAATGTCAACATGGAAGCCAGAAGACAAGAACTAAGAGAAAATAACTATCAATCTAGAATATGATTTTAGGTATATATCAACTCAGGTATATCTTCAAAGAACAAGAATTAAGTAAAGCCATTTTCAGATAAATCAAAACAAAATATATTTACCAATAGAACATGATGTTATACAACTCCAGAGGCATTAAATTTATTCTATATGGAGTTCTATAACACAGAGGCCCTATTTGCCAATAAGACCTTCACTAAAGGAACCTCTGAAGAAAGTACTTTAGGAAGAAAAAAAGTGATCCTATGGAAGGTGTGAGATGCAAGAATGGTAAGAGCAAATAAAGTGTAAATGAGATAAATCAAAATAAACACTGTCTATTTAAATAATAATGAAGTTAAATAAAACCTAATTTGTAAGTCTAAAAAGTGATAGAACTGAAATACTGGGCAACTAGATCATGGAAGTCAGATCAGAGTAAATGGGTTTTAAGAAAAAGGGTTCAAATACTAACTATTGTCTTTGTTAATAAGCATGTATGGTAAAATTTCAAGGCTAACTACTAAAATAATAGAAACAAAGTATACAATCTCCAAACCAATAGAAGGGAAAATGGTAGGGGGAAAAACAAACCCATTTCAAACAATTTTTTTAAAGATGAGAAAAGGAAATAAAAAAAAAAAGACAACAAACAGCATAAAGTAAAATCTATGTAAATGAGTTTAAGCAGTTAAAAAATTATCAGATTAAATAAAACAAGTCATATATATTTGTGAGACACACCTAAAATTTTAAAACACAGAATGATTGAAAATACTAGGAAAAGATACACTAGGCAATACTAACTAAAAGACAACTGTATTAGCTCTATTAATTCCAGACAAAATAGACTTTAAGACAAAAGCCATTATGAGGGATTAAGAATGTCACTATATGATGTCTCAATTCATCACAAAGAAAACATTCTAAACTGTCACGAATGTAGGCTGTATGATCCTACAAAATAGCCTCAGAATACATAAAGCAAAAATATAGAGCGTAAAGGGAAACCAGACAAGTGGATTCCCATAGAGATTTCAACATACTTCTCAATAATTGATAGGTCAAGCTGACAAAAAAATTTAAAAAATTCAAATAACACTGTCTATTTTAAATAATAATTAAAAGCTTAATTTAATGGACATACAAGGAACTCAAGAATGATTAGAGAAAAACTCATTCTTCTCAAACAACATAGAACATTTATAGAAATTGACTGTGTACCAGAACACAGAGCAAATCTCAGCACATCCATAATTGGGAAGAATGGGTCTTCTCTAAACATTGAGTCTTGGGTTCCGTATCATACATACCCATTTCTGGATACATGGGAAAGAAAATCCAGTAATATTTTAAGGTATTGAGTTAAAAATCATCTGCAAGAGGCAGCTCTTACCCGTGCCAACTGTCTTTAGATGCACATGTGGTTTTAGGTTTGGTATCATCTGCTGCTGTTCTGACTGATGCTCTGACACTTGGGCCTTCTCCAACAGACAGAGATGCTATGGACCTAAAGAAAAGAAACAAAACTTACAGCTACAGCACTTATTGTTCTCACCAACCCAAGCAAAACTTGTTTTCTTTCTAGTTTGAGTTTCTCAAAAATTATTCAGCTTTTAGTGCAAATTTTCCTTTGGAACCAAATTTAGAGGATCCCTTAAAAGCCCACTGTTGCAAAATCACAAGCCAAAGAATGATTCTTAAGTATAGCCAGCAGCAGGATAAAAATAGACTTTAGGCTGTTTATCTGGGGCAGATCAGGCCTTATGTCCAGGGAGAATGCTAATGACACTGACCACTTATTTTATGTGTGCAACCAGAGCTGGAAACTAAGTTTAGGAGCAAAAGCTTTAGGAGACTCAATCTAACTTGAAAATGAATACATTTTCAAATATTATACAACTGTTAGAAAAATATTCTAATTTTTAAAACTAATAAACTTGAAATATTTACTGAGTTAAATCTTGGCAGTTTGAAATTACACAAGTAATATGGGTTTCCAGTAAAGAAGATGAAAAAATTTAAAAGAGAGAAAAAATAATTATCTATAATCTTACAACCTGGAGATTAGCAACATTAACATTTTGGTATGAATCCTTTCAGACCTTTCAAAACACACACACACACACACACACACACGGCTCCTACCTCACATGTTGTGGTACTGATAAAAACCCTTTAGAAATATAAAACCTACTAAAGTAAAATAAAAAGATGTCCACTGAAATATAATTAAAAATATAAAGTACTGGGAATAACTTAAATATCCAATAACAGAAAATACTGCATTATATGAATTACGGCAGATTTATGCGATGGAATATTAGAAATGTATTAAAAATTAAGTGTATAAAGACCTTTTAATAATATGAGAGAATGCTCATAATATTAAGAGGAAACAGCAGGGATAAGCACCTATACATACATTATGATCTCAACTGTGTACAAAAAGTATATGGTGTTATATATAGTCTATATATTAACAGTGACTGTGTGTTTACTTCCTTTTTTATTTTTGTGAACTTGTCTATAATATGCATGTATTATTTTATAGTCAGATAAAAAGGATTATGTTGTTTTATAATAAATATATAGAGATTTGTCTTGATAAGACAAATACCACTAGAAATCAAAACCTGCTTAACAGGATTGCGCTAAATTCCAGGCAAGGCTTGGTTAGTTTATGAGTCAGTACCTCAGATGTCCCATTTGTAAGTCAGCAACAATATGAAACAACTAGAGATGTATGATACATTATACAAGTCTTATTCTGCTTACTCATGGTAATGACTCACCCCTTCTACTCTTATTTGTTCAGTTTTCTCAAATGCTCTTCACTGCTACTTCTCTTTCTATAATTGTACTCAAAGCAGATCACATGCTACAAATATATAATATTTGGTCATATATTATACAGATATTTTGAAAGGTTTTTGTAACATTCCAAGTAATTTTTAAGAGTAGTGAAACAGCTTAATTTTATACTCCAACTTTTTTTTTTTAATGTATTTTTATTGATTTCAGAGAGGGAGAGGGAGAGATAGATAGAAACATCAATGATGAGAGAGAATCATTGATCTGCTGCCTTCTGCACATCCCCTACTGGGAATGGAGCCCACAATCTGGGCATGTGCCCTTGACCACACTCGAACCCGGGATCCTTCAGTCTGCAGGCCAGCGCTCTATCAACTGAGCCAAATCAGCTAGGACCCAACTTCTTAAAATACCAGGAAAAGAATCTGTATATCAAGAGTTATTTATATAAATGTATATACTAAGAAATTTTGTATGTATACATATATATATGCAGCATTCCTAGTATTTTCCTGCTTTAAACATTTTTTTTTACTGTACCCAAAATCATGAAAGCATACACTATGACCACAATCTGGAACTGTTTGTCTGCTTTGTTTCCATTTCCCAAAATGGCTTATAAAGTGCCAATCAACTTTCATGGCAAAATGACCACAATATTGAAAAAACCACTGGGAAGAGAGAGATACTTATTTGAAGTATCATGGAAGCAAATGTGAGCACCTGTAACAGCTATTACACAATTAGTATATTTAGCATAAATCAGTCTATTAGTATAAATCTCATTTGGTAGGCCAAAATAGTGTTAGCAATAAGCAGACAGCTATAACAACATCTATTCAATTTTTACTATCTGCCAGGTACTGCATGCATTTCTTCCAAGTTGTCTTCAAGGTACCATATAAAGGAATGGTTAAGAGCACAGGTTCTGGAGACAAACTGTCTAGGTCTCTTACTGATGTGACCTTTAAGAAGTAGCTTAAATCATCTGTGGCTTGTCTGTAAACTGGAATAACAGTAATAACTATCTTCTAAGTTGGTAGTGAGGACTAAATAATGTATGTAAAGTACTCAGGCTAGTGTCCAGGACATAGTGATGTAATTTTTAGTGATTATTATTATTACTTGTTGTGGAGTTTTGTACTCTGAGTTTCCAGTGTTTGGTTTCCATTCATGAAAATAAATATTCTTAAATCCATTAAAAATCTGATGTTTCTTCTGGCCTGGGGCAAAGAATGGGGATGAGAAGAATACTGCACAAAACATTTTGCAAAGGGTGAAATTTTAACATTCAGACAGCAGCTGGTCTGTAGGTGCTCTAATTATTTTGGCCAAAGGGTCCAAGATTATTGATCTCTGTGACAGAACCCTAATGAATAGGTTTCCATAGTGATAGTCTCAGCAATAGAGCCCATGAAATCGACAATGTCTGCAGAGATTTCTATTGAGGTAATTCACTTTTAGTGAAAAATACTGTGATTCCCTAGAGATATACGAGAAAATCCTTAATGGGACATCGCTTGATAATGTTTGATTAAAAAAGAGGGGGAAAGCACTCCTCAAAGTTAAGGAAAATCAAACCATGGAACCTTGGAGTACAAATGAACTACAACTTTTCAAAATTTAACAGAAGAGTTTCTTTTACAAGAAATACAATGCTGTGCAGATTTGGTAGAATGTCACATTATTAACATTTATATCTTCTACAAATAATGAGAAATTTTAGTAGAGAAAAAGCTCTTCAGAAAAAAGGCTATTTAAGTCTAGTGAATAATTCCCAAATAACATATTATATATATATAATTACCCTGATGCATCCACTCTTAATTTCTTGAAAGCAGTTTGTAGACTCTCCTCCTCTCCATCCTTGGCTTCGGATTTCATTGTGAAACTTTTTACACTACTATGATGTTCCCGCTTATACTAAAAAAGAAAATCAAAATAAAATGAGCACAGTGACAACAGGTGGGTTCAGAAGTATATATTTTGTTAAAATCTTTATTCCTGATACTATTACTGTTTGTTAGAGAGGGGAACAAATTTCTATTTCTAAAAAGAACTTTCAGTGTAGATGATTTCTTGAATTTATTAAGATAGAATTTAAAATGCCCAAATACTTGATGCCAATATCCTATTACACAGTTTTGGAAACAATATCACCTAAAATCTGTTTAAATATACTTTTTTAAAGGGAGGAAAATCTCTCCATTTGTAGAGGTCTAGAAACCTATAGACAAAATAACCTTTGGATCAGAAATAAAAGGGAAAAGCCAAATGAATAGCATTCTGATTCTTTAAAATGCTACTATTTATCTAGTCTAACCCTAAAAATTCTAGTTAAGTATAACTTCTTGATACATGGCAGCATTTCTCTAAAGCAATCCTGACCTGAATATCAGTATTCATATCCAGATATCAAACTGGATATGAATATCAAAGCAGAATTACAAACATATTTACTGATTATTCCACAGTTAACCTATAAGGTTGATACCTTCATTTTTTAAAACAGCTTTGAATATTTCATTATAAAAGATAAAAAATGAATTATACTTACAATTCAAAAAAATATAAAGAACTTAGCCCCTCAAAAAAGAGGTAGGAAGAAAAAAGAGAAATTACTGTTCTATAGATGAACATTTAAGTGATGTTCAATTTTTTAAAGCCAAAAAATACAAAACAAATAATCAAGTTTTTTCTTTCCACCCCGATTATTACATTTAAACAAAGAAAAGGGAAAGGGGAACCAACCAAAGCAACAAGAAACACCACTGAAGTATGTTAACAAATTCTTTCAATCTAGTTTCCCAATTATTTTTTCACTTGGTAAAAGATACTAGTTATTTTTTCAACTAGTATCTATAATGTCACAGAGAATCTGAAAAACATTAAAACAAACAAAAAAAACAGAAAATGGGGAATTTTTGAAGCAAAGGAGTCACTCTACCTCTTCTTTCTTTATTCCTAACCTGCTTGCTACCCCTTACCCTCCCCCCACCCCCCTGGGGGCTCCCAGAGAGCAGTGCCTCCCTGTAGAGCCCTGGGTCCTGAGTCCCTCTCTGCTCATTTCTCAGGGTGGGCTCGATGCATTGTGAGACCTCCAATATTCCAAAGGTCAGAGTGTGTTGTAATATGTAGATATAATGTGACCATGTAGTACCAATGAAGCAAGGAATCAAGACAACTCGTTTCCTTGTTTATTTAGGTAGAGGAAGATATTTTAGTCAGCTCTCTCCAGGGAATGAAACATTGAACACTGAAAACAGTCTCAAAAGAACTCAGCTAGCTTTCACCTCAACTTCTCAAGACAAAAAATTTAAATACATCCCCACATATATTTTGCTGGTTTATTTAACCAGTGTATGAACATTATCAATTCTATACTTCACTGGTTTCTAATCTTCTAGATGTAGAGGATCCTCCCCGCCGCCCCCTCCCACACTAATGTCCTACATACCTAGGAAGGGGGGTGAGCAAAGACCACATTCTAATAATTTTAAAGCCCACCGCATCTGAAAGAGTGCTATCGTAGGTTGTAAACAAATTCATCCTGCGGACAGAACTACAGTAAAGCTTGACTTACAGTTTTCCTCAATTACTTTATAACCAGTCAGTCAAATGCTCACTCGGAGGAGTGGCCTTTATAGAGTTAAGTCATCTGAGCCGAGTCTCCCCAGCCCTGCAGACCCCACACTAACCCTCTCCCGCCTCTCTGGAAATCAGTACATCACTTCTAGATGTACACTGCTGAACTCTGTAGGCGGAAGTTCTCTCCCCCAACAAATACAGAACTCTTACCATGGGCGCAAGCACTGGGCTGGACTAGGGGTACACGGGGGGACTTGACACAGACCAGGGCCGGGAAGCCCCTGCCTGTGTTGCTGCCCGAAGACTGTGTTAAGAAGCTCTATACCCGAATATGTAACTTTTAATTATACAGCGCTGATTTAAGAGCACTGCAGGTGACCTCTAAAATCTAGATGTTAACACAAACTTAGTTAACATTCTTGTTGACACACTCAAAGTTAAAAGCCAAAACAGACCAAAATAAAAACTGGCTGCAGACGAAACGTTTAGGAATGAGATTCCATCTCAATTATTTTCAGACTTCAGCATTTTTGAGTACTCACCTTTTCTCTCGGTTAGACTAACCCTGAGCAAAGATAAGTGTTCCGCACGATCTTAAGCGCTAAATCAGAGCCTGTGTGTAATTCACGAACGGCTTATTATGCTCCTCAGTATTCCTACCTTCCTATTCACTCACATCAAGAGCTCTAGGACAAACTCCGGGGAACACAATTCACATTAAACTTGTGGGAGACTTCCTTGCCGTTTTCACAGCGCTGATTTCTTGAACAGTCTCCCAAAAGATCAAACTGTTAAAGGCCTATTCGAAGTTACTTTGTATTGCTTTAAGTTAAATCACACAGGGCAATTTATGCCTCCGGTTTCCCGCAACCTTTCAAAAATGACAAGCAAAATCCTCCTAAGTTCCTCCATCAAAATTTCTGGTTTTCTCTGACTTTCAACCAATAGCATGTGTCACAATCTTATTTCTATCTTGCCGTTTTCACCAAAACCTCTTTCAACCTCGAGCCTAGAAGAGACCTGGGGGAGAATAAACGATCCGCGGGTCAGCGCGTCATCACAATGTTCAAGATTTAGGAACTTGCCCGGCCCCCCGGAAGCAAGCACGGAGTCGGGGAAAGAAAGCCCCGTCCAGCGAGTCTCTAAGTTGCCAACAAGACGAGGTTGAAACCATCAGCCCCCCCCCCGAGATGAAACACAGTCACACCTCTCTCTCCACACCCACTTCAAACCCGACACACGCTCTTCTTGCTAGAGCCAGAGCACAATGTTGTTCTTTTCACCCAGAATCTGGAGGGGTCGCAGTTGGGAACGATCGGGAGAAAAGGTCAGAGCCCAGTGGGGCTCGGAGAGCGGGGAGTTGTCCAGAAGCCCCCAGGTCTGGCTGCCTGGGGTCTCCTGCTGGGAGGCGGCCCCTCCAGGACACTCCCCCGTCCAGAATGAGAGATTTCAGTTGGGCGAAGGCGCCAGGGATGCAGGAGGAGGCAAAGAGGCAGCCAACGAGACTGGGGCTCAGAAACGAGCGGGAAAGGGCGGGAAGGGGCAAAGGGCAGCCGAGGAGGGTGAAAAGGGGAAGCTACGGCCCAGCGGGAGAAGGCGGAGGAGCAAGACCGGGCAGGGGCAACGAGAGAACAGGAAGGCGGGAAGGGGCGATAGAGCGGAGCTGGGCAGGGCCAGGCCGCAGCACCCGAGGGAGGAGGTGGCGAAGACGCCCAACCCCGGCCCGGCCCGGCCCCGCCGTCAGTGCCCGCCCGGGCGCGACGCGACAGGAGGCGGACGGGCCCGAGGAAATCGCCCGCGGCCAGGTTGGGCCAGGCGGCCGAGGAGCTGTGCCGCGACCCCTCCCTGTCAGGACTCTCACCTTCTCGCACTCTGGTTACCCAGTCCCGTCGGTTCAGCTAGTCCGTCCCGGATCACGGAGCCCGACTGACCCGGATCCAAACCCGCGGAGGGGGCGGCCCGCGCCTCCGAGTCGCACTGCGCCTGCGTCACTCGGGCACGCGCCCCGCCCTCTATTTATGCTCCTCCCGCCTCCGTGACTCGGCAGCGCGGCAGGCGGCGACTGCGCAGGTGCGGAGCGGCGGCCGAGCCTCTCAGACGCCTCGCACCGGCCCTCTCGGAAGCACGTGCGCTTGCGTCATTTCCTGTTATTCTCTTTGCTCCCTCCTCCGTGCGCAGTGCGTTCGCTCTGGACCGGCTCGCGGGGCGCGTCTTCCTCCTCCTCCCTCGGGCGCGTGAGTAGGCGCTGCTCTTCACAGTCGCGAAGCAGCCTCCACTTCGCGAGGCTCACTGTGCTTGGAGCTCTAGCTGAGCCACCAAGGCAACGGAATTCCTTGGGGTGAGGCCAGGGTGGGCGTCTTCACGGCTCCAGAGCCCCTCGGAGCGCCTAGCGGGCTAGGCCCTAGCCCGTCCCCTGGGTGTTAGAATCTGGACCGCCTGCAACGTCTCCAGGACTCGGGGACACCACACCTCCTGGGGGTCTTTCAGGGCTTGCGGAGAAGCGAGGCGGTGCCAGACCGGGGGCAAGGCCAGGAATGGAGGCCGGAATTGCCACTGAAAAGCCTTTGCTTTAGCGCCCCTGTTGTTTGATTGGAGCGACCGCTTTCACCTCTCTCCGCCTCAGTTTCTCCAAGATTCTTAAGTGAAGAATCTTAACAGCCAGTGTCGTTTTTCTCAGGCATGGACTCCTTTAAGAACCTGGTGAGAAATAATAGACCCTTTCGAAGAGAAATGCACTAAATGTTTAGCAACATTTTAGGCAGTCCACCCAAGTAGGTGATTTTTTAGGGATTTTTTCCACTCTGATGATTCTGATGGTTGCCCCGATGGCAGGCGGGGAAGGGGTGAGCTGGGCAACAGCTGGCGGCCCCGCCATCACTGGGACTGAGTCTGCTGATCTGGTTGTGCCTCCTCCCCTCACTCACCAGCTCCACGTCTCCGCTTCTCTGAGCTTCGTGGGAAAGAATGGCTTTCCTCAACAGACTTGGGTCGAGGTGGTTTCGGCTCAGCCTAGGGTGGGAGCTGTTGCCTGAACCCCAACTGGACCCTCCCACCTCCATTCCCCAGTACTTAGACGCCGTCACCTAACTGGACAGACCTTGGAGCGCCCGACCCACGTCAGGGAGTGGAATCTACAGGATATTGTATAAGGCGGTCACACACAAAGCATGTCATGCGGCCTCGGTGAAACGTTTAGAAGTCTCCTGTTCACACCAGAGGCCCCACTGATAGGGCACGAAAGAATAGCTACCTGTTCATGGTCAAGTTCCAACATAAAACCTGACGACGGTAATAATCATGGCGGCCCTCTGCGGTGCAACACCTGCGGTTTTACACCTGTTACAGCGGAGGATGACTGGGACGCCCAGAGGTTAGAGAACTTGTTCTTGCTCCCCTTGGCCTGTGTCACACAGTGCTAGTAAGTGACTGGGATTTCATCTCTTGAACGCCTGTCTCTCAACATCTCTTAGAAAAGAGTAGAAAAGGAAAATGGACATTTTTTCCCCCCAGGAGTTGCCAAGTGACCTGCATCAAGATGAAATATGTGTTTTAAACTATCATTTCAAAATATTTCTTCAGCTAAAACATATCCTGGAGGGCAAAGACTGTGTCTAGATCAGTGGTTCTCAACCTTCCTAATGCCGCTACCCTTTAATACAGTTCCTCATGTTGTGGTGACCCCCAATTTCATTGTTACAAATTGAACATAATTAAAGCATAGTGATTAATCACAAAAACTATGTAATTATTTATGTGTTTTCCAATGGTCTTAGGCGACCCCTGTGAAAGGGTTGTTCGACCCCCAAAGGGGTCGCGACCCACAGGTTGAGAACCGCTGGTCTAGATTAATGAATTCCTGGAGGTTAGTAAATGCTAAATGTAATTTTGGTGAATTCTTCAGTTTACCTTAACTTCTACCCATTATGGCATCAAATACTAAAGCCCCAAATGTTTTAAAGTGCTTCATATAAGCATATTTCCATGAAGTTAGATGGTTTTTGAGAATGTGGTTTATTACTCGGTGTATTTGGAAGGCAGGATCCCTTGGGAGGTCAGTAGGTGGCACCATTCACTAAAGCGGGAAATCCAGGAAGCCAGCCGGTTTGGGCAGAGAGTTCAGTTTTGGACACAAGGAATTTGAAGTGCAAATGAAAGTAGGAATCAGGTTAGGAAGGGTCTTAAAGGCCATGCCAAGGGATTTATTCTAGGAACCATGGAAGCTGTGGATGAGAAGAGGAAGGACCGTGTTATTTTAGAAAGATTACTCTGGTTTCCACCTGGATGGCACAGTGATCCAGGCCTGAGATGGCAGTGCTCTCAAGAGCAGGTGGCGGTGGGAATGGAGAACAAGTGAACCGATTGAAACTTGTATAGATCAGGCTTTGGTGAGAGATTGTGTGCAGAAGGAGCAGTGGGAGAAAGTGGGCTGACAATTTGCTTTCTAGTTTGAGCAACTGAATGGGTATTGCCTATTTCTCATGTAACTACTGAACCTAGCTGACAAGGAGCAGATGAAAAACAACATATATAATTTTTATATATAATTTTATATACAATTTTTATATTAAATTTATATACATAATTTTTCATTGATTTCAGAGATGAAGGGAGAGGGAGAGGGAGAGAGAAAGATAGAAACATCAATGATGAGAGAGAAAACAATGATGAGGAAGAATCATTAATCAGCTGCTTCCTGCTTGCCCCCTACTGGGGATCTAACCAGAAACCCAGGCATGTGCCCTAATCCAGAATCAAACCATGACCTCCTGGTTCATAGGTTGATGCTCAACCATTGAGCAACACTGGCTGGGCAGAACAGCATTAAAATGGAAAATAATAGTAAAAGATAGTACTTTTATAGCTCATACTGTGTGTCAGAGATGTCATTCTAATCTTCACAACAATCCTATGAGATTGCTAGTACAATTCTCTTCCAAATGAGGAAACTGAAGTAAAGTAACTTGCCTGAGATTACACAGCTAGTAAGTGGTGGAGCTAGAATTGGAACCTGGCAGTCCTGCATGGCTCAGACCAGGAATGAACCCACAACCCGGGCATGTCCCCTGACCTGGAATCGAACTGGTGACCTCTTGGTGCATGGATAGATGCTCAAACCATTGAGCCATACGTGTGCCCAGGTGCCCATACATTTCTTGTGTCTCCAATTGGATTCTAAGCTTCTGGAGGGCAAGAATTATCTGTTAAATTTTTCTCAACTTTCCCTCCCTCAGCTCCTATTCTCTCGGTGTAGGTTGAATGCCCCCACACTGTGTGCATCCATAGTACTTCACACTTCCTCCATCATCTCAGGGGCTGCATCTTGTGTCCCTGGTACCTGGCACAGGGTCGGTCTGCCACCATACGTATTGAATGAGTGAGTGAATCCATCAGTAAGTCAGTCATCTCAGCAAATACTTACAGTTGCCTATTGGCTTTTTAGAACCATAACTGGGATCTCGACTCCTTTGACAGTGATTTTAGCAGCAGGGCCTTTTACTAGAACATTCTCTTTTTTTTTTGGTGTGGGGCGGGGGGAGGGACAAATTGGTTAAAGTTGGGGAAGAGATTAACTGCACTTAACTGGCATTCTCTACATAGCCCCAAAGCTGTCTGCTATTTGATACTTGCCTTTCTGAAATGTTGGGTCAGAGTGGGAATGAATGAGGACTTTGGAATGCTTGACAGATGACTTGGCCACATCCCTCTGCACTGGTTTGGATTAAGTCTGCAGCAACTTCAGTCCTAGTCTCAGCGCTCCAGGAGGATGGGAGGCTTTTCTTGATAGTTACTGATCACTTGCAGAGGGAGCCCAGGATTACAGATTCTCTTTCCTTCATTGTGATAAGGCCCTTGACAGTGAGTTTTCAAAACTTAAAGACCCAGGGTCTTGCCTTCTCTCAAATATTCATTCATTTGAACTTTAATCTGTATGATGACACCAGGAAGGTGTTAAGGCCAAAATATAAATCTAGCAGTAAAGCTACAGAAGAAAATGGGTAAATGGTAAGGACTGGAAGGGAGTATTGAGCAGGGCTTCAGGGGTGCCGGTAACATTCTTTCTTGATCTGATGTTGCTCATAGTGTGTTCAGTTCACAAGCTGTACACATCGAATATGCACCTTTTTCTGTGTGTATGTTAAATGTCAATTAAAAGTGAAAAGCTTGCCGAAACCGGTTTGGC